GTAATTCGTTTTATGGTAATAGCGTAAGGTTCTACAACATAATACCAGAGTCTGTTATAAATCTGCCTGAAAAAAGATTTAAATGTCATATTAAACACTTCCTTTGCAAAAAAGCTTACTATAAAATTGAAGAATTCATTAACAACAATAATGTTTTTATAGAAAAACTTAAAATCTATAGCACTGACAATATTATCTGATTAAACTAATAATGAGTACGCAGCGATTTCTATACTGATTATCGCATGCTTCTTACTTGTTATACTGTAATTATTTATATAAAAAAACATCTATTCAAAAGAGTAAAACACAAGTTTCTTGCTCATTCTTCTTGTGATGAATCTGCATTCATGATGTCATGATCTGCATGAATGAGTGGTAGAATGAAAATATGACTATTCATAAATGCTTGTAATGAGTTTATTTGAATAAAGATTATTTCTATTTCTATAATGGAATGGTGTACCCGCCTGCGTTAACGGTTTACTTTGGTGGGGCACCAGTGGAGGATGATAAGATTAACATGAGGTCAGGTCAGTTAGCCCACCGTGACAAATTATTCAATAATTTATCTCGATGGTTTCCAGGGGGAACCGCGTGGAGATCAACCTGACATGGTACATTGCTAGCAATAAGATTACGCTATATTACTAACAAACCCCTTTCCTAAACCTTAGCGCAGGTGCCCCATTAGATTATCCAAACATATAAAAAACATTGGAGTGTCTGTCTGTAATATTGAAATAACCGTTTTTTACTACAAGCATATGAATACAAATACGGTACTTAGACAAAAATAACATTATTTACAATTTTTGTCTATCTATCTGATTGTTCTAGCTAATCTCTAAAATGGCTGGACCGATTTTGACCAAATTTCTTTGGCAGGTAGCTGATGTAATAAAGAGTAACTTGGCTACTTTTATTTTAGAGAAGTAAAGTTCAATTCCACGCGGACGAGGGACGGTACAGCTAGTCATCCATAAAAAAAACTTAAAGGTCGTGAGTTCGTCTCTGTATGCTACTTCTGGTCTGTTAGGGTTACGCTCACTAATTATACTAGGTTTATTACCAGTGTGTTACACACCAGGTAACATGTTGAGCGGAGTGCGTTTATTCTTAAAAACTCGACCTTGACCGATCGGAATTTTTTTGTTTGGTAAACTATAAAGGACCGAAGTTCGACCTTCAATGAAATTTTTATATTTTGGACAAAAATTTTTTTTTTATAATGTGACATTAAAATACATGCAATCCTAATTGTATACCCTCCTTTCACCCATCAACAATCCCTATTTTTGTATTTAATTTTTTATGGCAAAACAACTTGCGGGGTCAGCTAGTAAAATGTAAATAATATACATATATACTTTCTATTTTTATTATATGTTACGATAAGGTCAGTGTTAAGGATAAATTCTCTCAAATAAATACTGTAGGTACCTACATATATATATATATATATATATATATATATATGAGGACAATCATTGAATATTACCTACATTTTGTGTACAAAATATTTTTATACATAATGAGGTTAAAACGTTTTTAATAAATTACCTTGACGGTATAGTGGTTTTAACGACTGTTTAACTATAAGATATATATACTCATATATATCTTTTAGTCATTACGTAGTATAAAACAAAGTCGCTGTCACTGTCCGTCCCTTTGTATGCTTAAATCTTTAAAACTACGCAACGGATATTCAAACGGTATTTTTAATAGATAGTGTGATTAAAGAGGAAGGTTTATATGTATAATAATAATCCCAGGACAATTCACACAGCGCCATCTAGTCCCAAGTTAAGCTAGCTAAAGCTTGTGTTATGGGTCTAGTACCCATAACATATCCATAACTTATACAAATACATAGAATTTTTTTTTGTAAATACTTATAATAATATTATACATAGAAAATACCTAGACCGATACAAATAATCATACTCGTGAATACAAAATGTTTGTGCCGTGCGAGGAATCGAACCCGCGACCATCGGACGTAAAGCGGTGTGCTAAACCGCTAGACCACCGAGGTCGTCAAATGTATAATACATGTACACCCGTGCGAAGCCGGGGCGAGTAGCTACAAATATAATACAATAGAATAGATAATTTTTTATTCAAATAAGCTTACATGAAATCACTTTTGAATAGTAATTACTTATTTTTTTAATCTACCGCTCATTCAGAAAGCTGTCTATCCACAAGAAGTACGAGCAAGAAATTTGCATTCGAAGTTAAAACTCGTTCTTTCCAGTGAATGTAGTAAAAAGGTATGTTTCAACACAAATACACACGTAAACAAACTTGACAGAAAGTGATTTGTGAACTATAGACTTGCTGTTTTTGTATATAGTTGACGAAGTCACCACGGCCATCACAAACTTTGCAGTTTATAATATTAGTATCGAGGTTTAGTTACATCACCATACAATAAAATACCAGAGTCTGTTATAAATCTGCCAGAAAAAAGATTTAAATGTCATATAAAACACTTCCTTTGTAAAAAAGCTTACTATAAAATTGAAGAATTCGTTAACGATAATAATGTTTTTATAGAAAAACTTTAAATCCATAGCACTGACAATATTATCTGATTACACTAATAATGAGTGCGTAGCGATTTCTATGTTGATTATCGCATGCCTCTTACTTGTTATACTGTAATTATTAACATAAAAAAACATCTATTCAAAAGAGCAACACACAAGTTTCCTGCTCATTCTTCTTGTGATGAATCTGCATTCCGAATGAGTGGTAGAATCAAAATATGACTATTCAAAAGTGCTTGTAATGAGTTTATTTGAATAAAGATTATTTCTATTTCTATTTCGCCGCTTTACCTCCGATGTTCGCGGGTTCGATTCCTCGCACGGCACAATCAATCATACTTTTGAATACAAATGTTTGTGCCGTGTTAAGATGAAAGTTAATTATTTCATTTCAAAGTAAGCAAAGCTTTTATGGGTACTGGACAATTGACATTACTTAGTACTGGGATTACCCTTAAGTAAATTAAAAACATCTGGTAAGTCATATCTACTGAGCAAAGCGTATTACTCACTAAACGATTACTTGAATGACGAGCGTGCATGGCAATAGTTGTGCAATGTGCTTGCACTAGATTTTCATTTAATGTTAGACATAGACACCTATATAAATATACATTGTAAAAAACTGGCTTAAAAAAAGTAATTCAATTGAGTTTCTTGCCAGTTCTTCTCAATTGGATTTATATACTGAGCTGGTCGGTAGGGAGAAAATTATAATGTAAAAAATTTGACGTTCATAATAGTCCTAAGCCACTATTTACAACACAAACATTTCACGTTCATAAGCGGCTAAAATGTCCTATATGAATAACTAATTTTTGTATTTGAGTGTAGTTTTTTTTTCTAAATGCATACATTATATTTGCAGACCGATACAAACAATTATACCCATGAATATAGTGTTATTAATGTACTTAGATTACGACTACTTACTGTCTACGACCACTTATCATTCAAAAGTGCTTAAATTAAGTTTATTTGAATAAATGATTTTCTATTCTTTTTTATACATCCGGTGGACAGTCAACGTGTTTTAACTTTTAAGTTATATGTATAAAAAGAAAAAAAAAAGAAAGTAAGTTATATATTAGCATCTTAATAGCTAATATAATATAAATCAAATATAATTAAGTTTCATAACAACTACTTAAGTTGTTATGAAACTTAATCACTAGCTGTACTCGCGACTTCGTTCGCGTGGTAACTTTATTTGTCTAAAATGAAAGTTCCGTAAGTTACTCATTATTACATCAGCTACCTGCCAAAAAAAGTCCCGTCAAAATCGGTCTAGCCATTTCAGAGATTAGCCGGAACAAACAGACAGACAGACAAAATTATTAAAAAGTATTATTTTGGTGTACGTACAGTATCTATATTCATATGCAGTAAAAAATGGTTATTTCAATATTACATACAGGCACACCAATGTTATTTATATATATAGATGTCCTTATTCATCCGAAATAATAAATGTACCTATAAATTAACGCGAGCGAAGTCGCCTGCAAAAACTAGTATATATATCTTATATATAAATTCTCGTATCACAGTTTTCGTTCCCATACTCCTCCGAAACGGCTTGACCGATTCTCATGAAATGTTATGTTATCTGTGACACTACACTAGGCTATCACTATATCGTGGAAGACAAAGCAAGTATATCACTCAAAGTAAGGTTGGTACAGCGATCAATATATTACAATAAATAAGAGTAATAATAATAATAATAATAATCTCAAGACAATTCACACAGCGCCATCTAGACCCAAATTAAGCTAAATAAAGCTTGTGTTATGGGTACTAGACAACTGATACAAATACATAGATATATTTTTTTTTCGTAAATACATACATATAATACTATGTATAATATATAACACCCAGACCGACACAAACAATCATACTCATGAATACAAATGTATGTGCCGTGCGAGGAATCGAACCCGCGACCATCGGACGTAAAGCGGTGTGCTAAACCACTAGACCACCGAGGTCGTCTAATAATAATAATAAAAAATGTATATCAATGCGTTAGTCTGAGTATGTGTGTGTGAGAGAGAGAGAGAATAGTGTGTGATGAATAATGATGTATAAAGTGACGGGTAAAAACTAGTCAAGAATAAATTTTCTATAAATTTTAACTTGTTTATTATCAAATTATGTCTATATATCACAGATAATTAATTACATGTATAAAATTTTGCTTTCTATAGCATATATTTTGAATGGATGATGTAATGGTACAGTCTGGTCTGTTTACACTGGGCACCAGTGGAGGATGATCAGATGAGCATGAAGTCAGGTAGTGGCGTGTTACATCAGGAATTACCACCGGAAACTACGTTCTAATTAAACATAACAATCGCCAATTATTCATAACAATCTCAATCAACAGCTACTTACATAATCACTTTTAATCATAAATATTTAAGAGTAACTACATGTACAGATTACGCAATATTTAGATGATAGTCATTCTAAAACGCAAACATGGGATTTCACTTATAACTAGATACTGTCCGCACTATCCAACGTTTATATGGTGACAATTATAGTCGAAGAACTACGCAATTTTCACCCGTCACCAAATCTCGACAAGAATCTTCAACAGCTGATACGACAGACTTTACTAAATCAAGAAATGTATCGCAATTTTACAATGAAACTGTTCAGTCTGTATCAATACATGTATTGGTACCTTTTATCTTTATCTGACCTTTTGGACACTGAGCGCCTTCGAAAGCAGTCCTGTCATCTAAGTCTGAAACTACTGACGTATTTCTATTTGCTTCTTCAGGTTTTAACGTTGTTGTTGTGGTACCGTCATCCCAGATCCATCTATCTTCATCTACTGGCAAAACTTGACCATTCTGCTTAACTGTACCGATATTTGTGTTAGTTCCACCAATCTGTGTTGATTTGAAATCCGTACGTTTAACTGTATCATTTATAGTTTTACTCGTTAAAACACCTTTGCTCTGAAATCCTTGTTTAGAATCTACTCTTTCAAACACATGTCCATGAATTGGAGTTGCCTCGTTCCGATGTGTTTTTTGTTCCGTTGGCAAATGCTGCCTTTCGTTATTGTAATCGGACTCTTGACTATCGTCGTCCGTATGGAATGTTTTATTCAACCAATCTGTTTCGTTGCTATTGGATGTTTCAACAAAGCCACTTGAAAAGAAATCGTACAACGATAACGTACTGTTCTCTTGTTTACCAGCCAAATGTCTAGCATTGGCTGTACTTGTTAATACACAAATCACGAGTTCAAACCACATTGTGTGAAGTTGCTTATACGTGCGTACGCGACGAGTTTTGCAGTGTTACTGGTTGACACAACGATGTGCGCATTCTTACATATTTATGGCAATGAAATTACGCGAATGCAAATTAGTCTTGAAGGAAACAAAATGATTTAAGTTTATAATTTCCTGTATCTAGTTTCCCTTATCGTTGGGGTCCCCAGTGACTGTTTCCCCATCTTCCTCAACATTTAGAAATAGAAATGATCTTTATTCAAATAAAGTTAATTTTAAGGATTCCCTTTTTCTTTGTAGTTTCCTCAGAGAATATTTCCCTATCATTCTCAACATCTAGAAATAGAAATGATCAATGTTCAAATAAAATTAGTTTTTAGGATTCCCTTTCCGTTTCTGGTATCCCCAGAATATTTCCCTATAATCTTCAACGTATAAAAATAGAAATGATCTTTATTCAAATAAAGTTAATTTTAAGGATTTTCGTTTGTGATATCCCCAGAGAGTATTTACCTATCTTTCTCAACATCTATAAACAGAAATAATCTGTGTTGAATTAAAATTATTTTTATGTATTCCCATTTCGTCAGTGGGTCCCCAGAGACTATTTCCCTATCTGTCTCAACATTTAGAAATAGAAATGATCTTTATTCGAATAAAATTAATTTTAAGTACTTTTGAATTTTATTTTAAGAATGAACAAACTGATATAATATAATAACAATATAATATAGCGCTTTTGTTTTGGGAAAACGTGACCAAGGTACTGTTAGACTATGAGCCAACACTAGACTATGCCTATATCGAGAAAATCAACGCAAGTTATATAACATTGGTACGGCGATCAGAGATTTCGTAATAATCATATCACAGGACAATTCACACAGCGCCATCGACCTCTTGGCTGAGTATTATTATTAAACAAAAACGTTTCAGTTTGTTTGCATGTCAAGATGATTAGAAATTAGGAAAAAAAATTGTTGCTATTCTGTATTTGGGTATAATGTTTATAACTTTTAGTAGCTAACGCGAATGAAGTCACTTATAAAATGTGACTTCTTATGCGATTTAATTCTAAAATGAAAGTAGCTTTAGCTACTCCTTATAACATTAACTATCTACGAGTGAAAGTCCCGTCAAAATCGGTCCAGCAGCAAACACTTTAAAATAAAACCTTTAATCTAAGTACCGTATATACTTTCATATGCATTTAGATTCACTAAATGCATCTGAATGTATATATGTTAATTTCAAATTACAAACAGACATTTTAATTTCATTTATTTCTATAGAATCTATATAAATAATCGAAGTGTTTGTGTCCTAGATTATGAATGTTGTCTGTCTATGCTATGGACAGATAATACTAAAAAACCTGGACAATTCACACAGCGCTATCTCGTCCCAAGTAGAGCTTGTGTTATGGGTACTAGACAAGTGATTGTAATACTTAAAAATGTATGTCAATAGAGTAATGTTAATTTCTATAATGTAAATAAATCTTATCAGTTCATTTATCATAATGCTTATTGACAAAAGGTTACATTATCGAATCGTAGGTTACTAGTATATAAACAGAGAGATCGTCGTGGCCTAGTGATTTCGATTCTATCTATGCATCTATACATATAAATAAAGTTGGAGTGTCTAATTGCAATCGAGTTTATATATACTTAAATGTCATTTTTTACTATTTTTGTCTGTCTGTCTGTTTGTTCCGGCTAATCTCTGAAATATCTCGACCGATATTGACGGGGCTTTTTTGACAGGTAGCTGATGTAATAAAGAGTAACTTTTAATTTTAAAAAATCTTAGAATTTGGAATAATAAGCTAGTTTTTTAATAATAATAATCTCAGAACAATTTACACAGAGCCATCTAGACACAAGTTAAGCTAGCTAAAGCTTGCGTTATGGGTACTGGACAACTGATACAAATACATAGATACGTTTTTTTTGTAAATACATACATATTATACATAGAAAATACCCAGATCGATACAAACAATCATACTCAGGAATACAAATTTTTGTGCCGTGAGAGGAATCGAACCCGCAATCATCGGAAGCAAGGCGGTGTGCTAAACCACTAGACCACCGAGGTCGTCAAAATTTTATATATATATTTTTTCCCTTTAAATTAGGGGAACAGAATAGAAATAGAAATAAGATTTATTCAAATAAACTTAATATAAGAAACTTCTGTGTTGCTCAATGAATGTTTGTATGGAAATTCGTCAATTTTGAAGGTAGAACGATTAAACCTTATTCGTGGATTTTTTGGGTAAGATTATTTACTATTTTTTTGTTTTTTTTATTTAGTCAAGGTCACTATTCCACGCGGACAAAGTCGCAGGTCCAGCTAGTAAATAAATCTAAATATATATAACTTAAAGGACTGACTGACGTAGTGATCTATCAACGCACAGCCCAAACCACTGGACGGATCGGGCTGAAATTTGGCATGCAGGTAGATGTTATGACGTAGACATCCGCTAAGAAAGGATTTTGATTAATTCTAACCCCAAAGGGATAAAATAGGGGATGAAAGTTTGTATGAAACTTTGTCAATTTTAAACCAATCGGGCTGAAACTTTGCATGCATAAAGCTACTATAACGGATTTTGACAAATTCCATCTCTAAGGCGATAAATAAACGCGAGCGAAGCCGCGTGCAAAAGCTAGTAAAATATATGAGTCGGTTGAGCAATTAAGGCGTCAAATAGTCAGCTGACATGACTCACAATATACTATCATCCACAGGTTTATAATGCGGAAAATTACATACATTGTACCTTAGCTGAGCTTGACTGAATCATAGTCACGATTTGCACGCATTTTTTGTTAGTCAGAGTGGAATGATCACAAACTTTGTGTATACAAGTAAATAAAATTGCAGTGTATATTTGTTATTTAAAATTAACTACTTTACACTATGAATTTAGTGGAATTATATGGAATTTAAAATAAACTGGCTGTACCAGCGACTTCGTCCGCGTGGAATATAACTTTATTTTTCTAAAATAAAAGTAGCCTATGTTACTTCTTATTATATCAGCTACCTGCCAGTAAAAGTCCCGTCAAAATCCGTCCAGCCATTTCAGAGATTAGCCGGAACAAATAGACAGACAGACAATTGTAAAACATGTTATTTTGGTGTATGTACCAACTGATCTATCAAAGCACAGCCCAAACCACTGGATGGATCGGGCTGAAAATTGGCATACAGGTAGATATTATGACGTGGGCATCCGCTAAGAAAGGATTTTTATTAATTCTGCCCCCAAGGGGATAAAATAGGGGATTAAACTTGTATGAAACTTTGTCAATTTTAAACCTTTGCATGCATAAAGCTACTATGACGTAGGCATCCCCTAAGAAGTATGTTGATAAATTCCACTCCTAAGGGGATAAATTAACGCCAGTGAAGCCGCGGGCAAAAGCTAATAGGTATACGTATCGTTATTATAGTTTTGTTACTAATTATTTACTCTTCTTATTATGCTTTTGATCCTCGCTTAGTATTATGGTTGTAATGTAAAAAAAAAACAGTGGTACCTTTGATCCTCCACTATGTAAGGCACGCTACAGATGTGGCATTCATACCTAATTGACTGCTCCAGTTCAGCGCACACCCTTGTAAAAACAAACGGATAAACATCAACAGCCTGTATAAGGTTTAGCATTAAAAATAATAAACTGTTTTTTAATACAGAGATAGTTGTTTTGTATATCACTAGCTTTTGCCCGCGGCTTCGCTCGCGTTAAGAAGTGTTAATATTAATTAGGTATAGTTTTTGCGGCTTTACTTTTGTTTAGCGTGTGTAAAAAATTAGGGCCTACAAACTTCTTTGTACACAATATTCTTAATTAATCTATTGTCAATATTTAGAACTAAAAATTATTTTGTTCGTCTTAATTTATACGTTCCATTAGGTACTGATGGGTTCAAACTAATACATCCTCCATCATCCCTTATTTTATCCCCATAGGGGTTGAATTTATCAAAATCTCATTTAAGCGAACGTCTTCATCATAGTATCTCCAATCTTTGATTTCAGTTCAATCGGTCGAAAATCTAAGAAGATTTATACAAACTTTCATCCCCTATTTCATCCCCTTAGAGATGGAAAAAATTATAAAACTTATTAAAATAACTTATTAAAATATAACTTATTAAAATCCTGAAATAAACTTAATTTAAGCACTTTTGAATAGTCATAGTTATCATTCTTTTAATCTATCGCTTCGGAAAACTATTTCATCACAAGAAGAACGAGCAAGAAACTTGCGTGTTGCTCTTTTAAATAATCATTGTAATTTTACATTTCCAATTTGAAATATGCGAATTCAAACCACCAACTAGCACCAATTTATTAGCTTTAGATATTAAGTACACAATAGGATTAAATCAGTCGTAGTGATTAGAGCAGACCAGTCCGTACAAGCAGCACTCGTTCACGAGTATGACGTATGAGCCAGCCATCACTGCGCTCGACTGTATTTTAGGGAACCCAATGACCCGGCCCATGAATGGATGAATTAAAAGACCTGTTTTGATGCAAAGTAGGGATTTGATCTTCCGTTCTGAAGATACGTTTGGTTGCAGATGAGGGGCCAGGCGGAGTGACCACGGACGGTCTCTTGAACGCCCTGGCTCGCCTGCGCCGCCCCCCGCCTCAACTCCCGCACCCCTCACACCCGCCACGTTCCGTAAGTACCCACATTTATTTTTTAATTTATATTAATACTAGCTGTGCTCGCGGTTTCACTCATCTGAAATTTATAGGTTACTAGATCTGCCCGCGGTTTTAGCCGCGTTAAATTTCATTAAAAAATATAGCCTATGTGCTATTCTGATGCATAAGCTATATTACTGTAAAGTTTCATCAGAATCTGTTCAGTAGTTTTTGCATGGAAGAGTAACAGATATCCATACTTACAAACTTTCATGTTTATAATATTATTAAGATGTGATATTCTGATGTATAAGCTATATTACTGTAAAGTTTCATCAGAATCTGTTCAGTAGTTTTTGCATGGAAGTGTAACAAATATCCATACTTACAAACTTTCATGTTTATAATATTATTAAGATGTGATATTCTGATGTATAAGCTATATTACTGTAGTTTCAAAATACGTTTAGTAGTTTTTGCATGAAAGGATAACATACATACATACATCCTACCCAGCAAACGTTGTTTTGCCATATAAATTAAAGAAGTAGTATCGCTATTAATAAATAGGGGTTGATGATAGAAGGGTGAAAATTGAAGGTTGTGTGTATTATTACATTACATTATAAAAAAAACAGCAAAACAGCCCTTCAGACCTAATGAATATGCATATACGAGTAAAAAGTCATAAAAATCGGTCAAGCCGTTCGGAGGAGAAAGTGTAACATTGTGACACGAGAATTTATATATAAGACTAGCTGTTCCCGCGACTTCGTCCGCGTGGAATTTAACTTTATTTTTCTAAAATAAAGTAGCCTATGTTACTCCTTATTACATCAGTTACCTGCCAATAAAAGTCCCGTCAAAATCGGTTCAGCCATTTAAGAGATTAGCCGAAACAAACAGACCGACAGACAGACAGACAAAAATTGCAAAAAATGTTATTTTGGTGTATGTACCGTATTTAAATTCATATGCATGCAGTAAAAAACGCTTATTTCAATATTACAAACAGACACTCCAATTTTATTTATATGTATATATTAGCGACATAATAAAGATATAAAGTTTACGAGTTGTAGAGGTTAAGAATATTCAAAATCAGTGCTCGATTCTGAAAATTCTCGCTTCAGAGATTGAATTGAATCTACTGAACCGATCTTGAAAATTCTTTCACCAATAGCTGCATCACTGATGTCTAGAAATCGGGGGAGCTCAAACAGCATCCTAAAAACTGTTGCGAATATACCTGATTGTCCGCTCCAGAGGCACTGGATATCGTTGCATTGTGGACCCAGTGCTTCTGGACGTGGACACAGGTATATGAATTAAGTGTATATATCTCTGTATCTGTTTGTTATAAGTTACTAACATAGTTTTGTAAGTTTTTTACTAACACAATATGGATGTAATCAGAATTAAAGTTAAAATAAATAAATAGAAAGTCATGTTATTTATTTATTTATTTATTTAATTCAGGCTACATGGCCCATCTAGACACGCGGTAGCGTGTCAAAGCCGAGTTTCAAGTAAACTGGCAAGCAGCACCGTGTGTATATTTACACGAACCATTTGGAGCCACTTTTGACCCCCTCATAACTCAAAAACTCTTTCACACAAACCTGTCAAATTTGGTTCATATATTGACACTTGCGAGATAAATATGTGTTCCAAATTTCATAAACATATCTCAAACGGTTATTTAGATATTAATGTCCAAAAATCGTCATTTTTATCACTGATCAACTATAGATCAAAATTATAACCCACTTCCAGATGACCTAGGAAGTTCAAATTTGGCATGCAGATAGGTAATTAGGTGAATATAAAGGAAAAAATCTGAAACTGGTAAATTGTTATCATTTTACTACAATTTTTCACTTTAATTGATTCTATTTCAACTTATACTGGACGAATACTAAAATTCTATGAAAACGTCGATAGCCACCAATTGACATTGATCCCTGGCGAAAAGTCTCATCTTGTACTGGACGGAAAGTAATATTGTATGAAAACGTCGATCATTATCAATTTACGTTGACCCCTTCACATCAGTGTGGATAACTAGCAAACTTCAAATATTGCATTGAGCGGTAAACACTAGTTGCTATAATTTAGATTCTGTCTAAAATATACTCGTACTTATAACTAGGAGTATAGTCGAATTTCGTATTTATTATGTTATTAACTGAGATTTGGTATTAATTATTGTTTCAATATTTAGCGCACATCGATAGTGTAAAATCATTATTTTTATAAATAATTATTAAATAATAGGCATTTCGGTATAGGGCGCCGCGGCGGCGCCGTGTGGGAGCGGTGCGATAAAACTCAATGTTTTGTTTCTCGATATCTAACCTATAAGGTTGCGATTTATGCTACGAAATTCATAGCTTTCTTAAATTATACTTATATATTTGTGGTTATATTATTATTACATTATTTTAGTAAATACGTATGGTATAGACAATAGTTTAAACCAAAAATTAATAACAATTTTAGTATAGTTATAAGTAGGAATGTATAGTTAACTCGAGAATGAGAACTCATTGGTAACAAATTGTTTTCTTGAGAATTCAATAGATAACAGTCAATTTGTTACATAATCGTCGTTACGAACTATAACGTGTCAATACGAAGTTTCAGATATTAAATAATGTATAAGTTGAAAGAGAACAATTCCGTATTTGCTTAACATATGCTATTACTATCCACAAATCACAAGGCCTTAGTTTTAGCAGTCCTCTTCTCAACATAGGCTCCTCTATATTTAATAAAGGGCAGGTTTACGTTGGACTCTCCAGAGTTAAAACCTTAGATGGAGTACGTCTTAACAATTTAGATCCAAGTCACGAGAGCTCTATTGTAGAGTACAACCATCTGTGGACGTTATACCGCCCCGATTTGCCCAAAAATTCCTGATACTGAATTGGCAATGCACTTGAACATTTAAAAGTTACAAGAAAATATAGAAAATAACACAAAAAAAGACAATTATACCCCGTAAATATACGAAAATACAGTAATTTATCAAAAATAATTTGGTATTAATTTAGTTATAAATAAGTACCTCGTATAATTTATGTACAAAAAGTAATGATATCCCATCAAAAACATAAATGTGAAATGATAGCCGAGTTTAATATTATGATATATACCTTGATTGTTGACTTCTACGACAAAAGAGATGAGATCTAAATGGGTGCCAAGTTCAATGAGGAAACTATAGGGGAGGAATGGTAGTCCTGAAATGTATGAAATTATAACAATATAAAATATAATTTCTTCTTATAACTTAGGATAATATACTGTAGCCTAAGGTCTAACTTGGCTAGTTTTCATATACGAAATATACTGTAGCCTTCGCAAGTTCTAAACATGTTACTTATCGGTTCCTATTTTAATATTAGTAGTAACTAGCAATAGAAAGTAATAATTGGTATATGAGAACTGGCCAAGTTAGACCTTAGGCTACAGTATATTATCCTAAGTTATAAGAAGAAATGATATTTTATATTGTTATAAATACATTTCAGGACAGACCATTGAACTTGGCACCCATTTAGATCTCATCTCTTTTGTCGTAGAAGTCAACAATCAAGGTATATATCATAATATTAAACTCGGCTATCATTTCACATTTATGTTTTTGATGGGTATTATAAATACCTTATAGACTAACATACATAAGAAATAATAATAAAATATGAAAAATAAAATAGTCTCTATGGTCACGGCACTGACGACGGCAATCTGCCACGGTAGCGCCGATAGACCACCCCCTTCGGCCAGTAGTCCTCCTTCATGAAGGTGGGCAGCATATTGGTGGGGACCAGGGCTATGGTATGTAGCTATGAATGTTATAGGCTACATAACATTACGTTGCGACCAATAGGAGCGGAGCTGCAATATATACCATCCCTATGTATGCTTAAATCTTTAAAACTACGCAACGGATTTTGAAGCGGTTTTTTTAATAGATTGAGTGATTCAAGAGGAAGATTTATATATACAGTACATGTACACCCGAGTGAAGCCGGGGAGAGTAGCTAGTATCTTATAAAAAATATAATATGCAAGTTTAATAACTCAATTAATTCTATATACAAACATTTTTATATTTATTCAAAAGCAATTTAAACAAACAGTTACGCTCCATGCAAAACTCGGAACGTGACAGTAACGCAACCACGAGATCAAAGCGAATTTGTTCACCTGTATTTGCATAGTTTGCTTGCAGATCGTTTATCCATCGCTTCAGTGTTGCCACATAAGATTTTCTAATTAATGTACCTAGTACACAGTACACAGTTCAGTATTGCCAGATGACAATCTTGCTATTACTTCCAATTGTTATAAAACAAATCATACAGCGCCATCTAGTCCTAAGCAAAGAGTTTGTGTTATTGGTAGACAACTGATATATATGAATACAAATATTTCTACCGTGCGAGGAATCGACCTAGCGACTATCGGAAGCAAGGCGATGTGGTAAACCGTTATACCACAAAGACTGTCATTTAATAGTTTATGTCAGATTGACAACCACGCAGTTCCACCTGGAAACCATCGTTATAAATCTCTGATGAATGCCACGATGGAATAAATGACCTGATATCATGATCATCTTACAGTCCTCTACTGGTGCCCTGCCAGCGGAAACCGTAAGCGCAGGCAGGGTGCGAACACTTTAAAAAAAATTGCTTATCGTGAACAGAGTAGAGTACAAACCTGGCAGCCAGAATGTTCACTCTCACAGACAATATCCTGCGTTCTCTGTCTACATCGTCATTGTCATTGGGGCTAGGTATCACCATCATCATCATTTCAGCCCGGAAGACGTCCACTGCTGAACAGAGGCCTCCCTCAAAAATCTGCACGACGATCGGTCCTGCGCTGCTCACATCCAACGCCTTCCAACGATCTTGGCCAGATGGTCGGTCCCCCTTGCTGGAGGCCTTCCCACGCTGCGTCTTCGGGTCTGCGGTCGCTACTCGAAGACTTTACTGCCTGAACGGCCATCTGTCCTACGAG